GGGTGAGAGAGGAAAAAGGTCAGTTTACAAAGTTGTTCATGTGTGTGTTGTCGCACTGGGAGGCATCTCCAGTTTCTCCTGCAGAAAAGGAGTACAAGAGTGCAAAGAAGAGATATGAGTAGGATAGTATAGTTTGGAAGATAGTGACGTAAGCCAATGACAACTGAGATACACAGTTTAGTAGAGTACAATCGGTTTTAAATATAGTTGGGCTGTACACTGGTTAATTGATGGATAATGATGCGGAGCGGAAAGTTTAAGAGAGGAGTGGTGATAGATTGTTGGAATANCTTTGAGAGGCGTGTTACAATATGATAAGATAAGTGCTATAGAGTGCCACATGTCTTTATCATGTCTTTCACTACAGTTGGAAGGCACACACACAGTGTATAGGGAAGCCGTGTAGAAAATAGCTGGCCCCATTTATTTACATTAAACCTGCTCAATATATATACTGGATATTGCTATTTCATTAATTACACTGTTACTTTACATTGTAAAATACAGGTCAATGTTAGATAAAAGAATGTTGAAAATATTTTCCTTTCAATTAAACCATTTTTTTCTGTATGAAAGCAGTACTAGTGCTACATAAAGTGCAAGAGGAGATGCCCCTGTGTTAAAGTGCATTTAGCGGTGATTGCACGCCTGGTTGTTTCTCAACCATTCTTTGAGTTGACCTTTGAAGCTATTGAGAGTGGGACAATCCCGTATCTCAGTTGGGAGGCTATTCCACAATGAGCTGCCTTTAACGGAGAGGATATGTTGTCCAAAAGTGGTCCGTCTGCGGTGGACTTCACAGTCTCCTCTGGTTTCTGACCTAGTGCAGCGTCCAGTGTGTTTTTTGTGGATGAATCCCCCTAAGGGAGGGGGCAGTCCATGTAAACATTTATAAAAAAAACACATACTTTAAAAGACTTAAAATGGTCAAAACTCAAGAAATTTTGTTTTTCAAGGATGGTACAGTGGTGGTATGAATTTGGCTTTCTGTCAAACACCTTGATAACTCTC